GGGAAGAGGAATGGAATGAAGAAGAAAGGAATGAAGGAAAAAGAAAGGAATGAGGGAAGAGGAAAGGGAAGTGGAAAGGAATGAAGAAGAAAGGAATGAAGGAAGAAGAAAGGAATGAGGGAAGAGGAAAGGGAAGAGGAAAGGAATGAAGAAGAAAGGAATGAAGGAAGAAGAAAGCCCCGAATGAAGAAGAATGGAATCAAGGAAAAAGTAAAAATGAGGGAAGAAGAAAGGAATGAGGGAAGAGGAAAGGAATTAAGAAAGAATGACGGAAGAAGAAAGCAAAGAAGGGAGAAGAAAGGAAAGAGGAAAGGAATGAAGAAGAAAGGAATGAGGGAAGAAAAAATTAATGAGGAATAAAGAAAGAAATGAAGAAGAAAGAAATGAAGGAAGAAGAACTGAACAGGGGAAAAAGAGAGGAATGAAAGAAGAAGGAAAGAATGAGGGAAAAGGAAAGGAATGAAGAAAGAAGAAAGGAATGAGGGAAGAGGAAAGGAAATGATAGAATTAGAAAGATAAATGATGTAAGAAAGACAACAAAGAAAAATATTTTAAAGAGAAAATGAAATTATGGTAAAGAAGAAAAACGAAGGAAAAAAGACGAAGAATGAAAGAAAACAGCAAAAAAGAAGGAAAATGGAAAGTACGAAAGACAGATGAAGCAAGAAAGAAAGAAAGAAAGAAAGAAAGAAAGAAAGAAAGAAAGAAATGTCAAATCACGGAAAAAAGTTAAAGGATGCAAGAAAGAAAGAAAAACGAATAAAGAAAGATGGAAAGAAATATGTAGGTACAGAGAAAGAAAAAAGAAATGCAAAAGTATAAAAAGATTTAGTCACGAGAAAGAAATAAAGAAAGAGAGAAAAAAGAACGACGCATAAAAGAAAAAAATGAAGAAAGAAAGAAGGAAAAAGAATGATGCATAAAAGAAAGAAAGAAAGAAAAAGAACTATGCATAAAAAGAAAGAAAAAAAATAGCATCACAAAGAAGGACGGAAAGAAATACAAGAAAGAAAGAAAAATATAAAGCAAGATGGAAATAAATATGAAGGTACGAAGAAAGAAAAAAGAAAAGAAAATTTGCAAAAAAGATAATGTCACGAGAAAGAAAGAAATAATAAAGAAAAATACAAAAGAAAGAAGATAGCGTCTCAAAGAAAGACATAAAAATGAAAGCGCAAAAAAGAAAAATAGAAAGAAAATAGCAGAAAAAAAGAGAAAAGGAAAAATGAAAAAGTGTAAAGAAAGAAAGAAAGATGTAATCACAAGGAAGAAACAACCAAAGATAAAGAGAGAAAGAGATAAAGAAAGAAAGAAAGAAAAAAAGAAAGAAAAGGAAATAGAAAACAAAAGAAAGAATGAAAACCTTGAAGTAGGATAAAAAGAATTAGCAGATAAAAAAAAAAAAAAAATAAAATGAATTTTTATTTAAGAAAAAAGATAAAAACCGACCATATAAAAATTGTAAGACAAATTTAAGAACGAAAGCAAATGAAAAAAAAAAAAACGAAGCCTAAGGAAGATATAAAAGAACGAAATAAAATAAACTACACATGAAAGAAAAAAAACCCCCAAAAAACAAAAAAAAACACCAAAAAAACAAAAAAAAAAACACCACAAAACCAAAAAAAACCCCACCCCCACAAAAAAAAACAAAACAAAAAAAAACAAACTCTTTCACGTCTTAAAATCGAACAGATTTCAATGATTCTGATTGGTTTTAATGAACCATTTCCACACATCCTAAGATTTTTATTGTTTTTAATCTTAAAATTTTTATCAATCCTTTTACTACGCATCCGAGTTTTATTTCAGTTAATCCTGTTTTAGTTGTGAGTTGAAAATAAGATTTATATCAAAGGGATTTTTTTTCTTCTTTTTACGTGGGTCAGGGAAGCAAGATGAAATTATTAGGAGAAAGAGAAAATGGATTGAAAAATAGATATAAAGAGAGAATGGCAGAGTGAGAGAGAGAGTGTGTCTCTGTGTGTGTATGAGGGTGAGAGTGAGAGATAGAAAGAGAAAAAGCGCAGAAGGGAATAGTGAATGAGTAGAAGAAAGGCAGAAAGAAGAAGAAGAGGAAGAGGAGGAGCAGGAGGAGGAAGAAGAAAAGAAGAAGAGGAAGAGAAAAAAGTAGAAGAAAAGGTGAAGAAGAAGAAGAAGAAGAAGAGGAGGAGGAGCAGGAGGAGGAAGAAAAGAAGAAGAGAAAGAAAAAAAGTAGAAGAAAAAGTGAAGAAGAAGAAGAAGAAGAGGAGGACGTGGAGGAGCAGGAGGAGGAAGAAAAGAAGAAGAGGAAGAGAAAAAGTAGAAGAAAAGGTGAAGAAGAAGGAGAAGAAGAAGAAGAAGAAAAAGAAAAAGAAGAGGAGAAGAAAACGTGAAAGAAAAAATTAAATGGACGATGCAAGAAGAAAAAAAGAAGAATGAAAAGGAAAATGCGGGCGAAACAAGAAGAAAGAATAAAAAGAAAGACCAAGGAAGAAGAAAAGAATAGGAAAGGTAGGGAGGACGATGGAAGAAGAAGAAGAAAAGAAGAAAATGATGAGGAAAAAGAAGAATGAAAAGAAGAGATGAGAAAGAACAAAAAAAGTAGGCAAGAGGATGTAAGAAGAAGAAAAAAAGAAAATGAGAACGAAGCAAGAAAAGTGGGGAGATACAAGAAGAAGAAGAAGAAGAAGAAGAAGAACAACAACAACAACAACAACAGCAACAACAACAACAACAAAAGAAGATGAAAAATGAGAACGAAGTAAGAAGAAGAAGAGAATAAGAAAAGTGGGAGGACGATACAAGAAGAAGAAGAAGAAGAAGAAGAAGAAGAAGAAGAAGAAGAAGAAGAAGAAGAAGAATGAAATGGAAAATGCGAACGAAGCAAGAAGAAGGAGATAAAAAGAAAAGTGGGGAGACCGATGTATCAAAAAGAATAAAAAGAGGAGGAAGAAACAAGAAGTCAATAGGAAAAGTATAGAGGACGATGCAAGAAGATGAAGATGATGTTAAAGAAAAAAAAGAAAGAATGAAAAACAAAAGAAGAATTAAACAAAAAGAAAGAACAAAAAGGGGGAAGACGAAGCAGTAAAAGAAAGTTAACGATAGGTAAATGGTGGGAAAGTATTTTTCAAATACTCTTCTCATCTTACCCTCGCTTCGTAATGGGGGAGAAATTTATAAGATATTGATAGTTGCCTGGAGATGGCCGTTTTCAGTTGCGATGGGGTGGGGGTGGCGGTAAATTTAAGCGGCGTCAGTAATCCAACCTGTGAAAAGTTCCCGCGCTAGAAGGAAAAATAGCAAAAAAACAGACGGCCATTGAACCACTTTTTCGGAGCTAGAATAACGTAAAATAGTGATAAAAGAAAACTGATAAGGAAAAAAAAAAAAAAAAAACTGACCCAAGGGGCAGGGAAGAAAATAAATTTTTAAAAAAAGAATAGAATTAAAAAAAAATTCTTCCCTGAACTTACAACGTTCGAGTGTATGTATTTATACACTCAATCGCTGTAAGTTCCGAGTATAGATGTGTGTTAGTGGGGGTCATATTTAAGCTGAGCATTGATGTGAATATTAGAATACTAAATACAACGCTTCGTAACTGGAGTTGATCGAATGTAATCTAAATTGTAATCTATATGATAGAATTTTTTTTTTCGGAACAGAAAGGTCAAGAGAAAGAAGAATCCGTTCGGAAATTCTCTCGTTTTTTTCGCTTAGGGGAGGTTATAGAGAAATGATTAGCAATCGATTCTTTATATCTGCAACCATTTCAGTCTGCTAAGTCTGGTAAGGATGCAAATATTTCTGCGCAGTTTTAAAAACATACAACCCAAATATCAATATTGAATAAAAAAAAAAATGAGATCTAACTTTATGACTCATTCATTCATTTTATTCAGTAAGCGCATTGTGCACCGCCGCTGTGGTCACCACTCCCCTCTATCTCACAAAAGTGCTTCATTCAAGGCAGAATAGTACAATGGCTTGCCAGTTCCTTTTGCAGAGGGGATGTTAATATTACCCCGTTCCCTCAGAAGCTACCTTCTCGCCTTTGTCTAAAGAGGTAGAACCTAGAAAGCAACAGCTAGTTTGAATTTATAGCTTCCCTTCTCCTAGACTGGTTTCCATCTAAGGCAAGAAGAAAAAGAACCCAGTCTGTTCTGTTATTTTATCCATAGCTGGGGAGAAGTTGCTATCCATGATGACATTTAAGACATCATAGTGCAATGGCTTGCTGGTTCCTTTAGCAGCGAGGATATTGAGTTTGGATTTGTCTTTGAATTTACCTTTTTCTAGCCTAAAGAGGTAGGCCCTACAAGGCAGGTGATTTGAATTAAGACTTTTTATTCTCCTAAATTGGTTGCCACCCAAGGCAAGAAGTAAATCCTGTTAGTTTACGTTGTATATGCATTTCCCAATAGTATTAGCACGTAAGTGAATGTAATGAACTAGACTGGAATTTGAACTCGGCTCTCCGATTCCTCAATCCGAGCCTTTCACCATTACTTCACCATACTCCGATTTTATGTATTTTATCGTTTATAAGGCACCATTCCACCATACTATCGTTTATAAGGCACTATTCCACCATACTATCGTTTATAAGGCACCATTCTACCATATTAAGGGATGTCAGAATTTCCAGGATATATTGATTTCACAAAGATGTTAGATTGGAACAAAAAAATCAAAAAAAATCGAAGCGATTTTCAAGAGGTGGCTCTGAAACAAGTGATTTCATTTCGCACGTGATTGAGTGATTGCCTTGTTTTCTACGTCTTTTGCAGTTTATTTAATGCTAGAAAATATCTTTTTACATTGTAATTTTGGAGATAATAATGATTTCGTAATACAAGTCTTACTAATTAATCCATAGTTGGAAGGAGAACAGGTGGATTCATGCCTTTCCCAGTGGTATTTGTGTATAAGTGAATAACTCGACTGGAATTGGAACTCGGCTCTCCGATTAACAATACCGAGTCGCTATCCACTACATCATCCATACATCTAAGCTTACAGCACTAGGTATTCCTAAGCGGACACCCATCTAGGTACTGACCAGGCTCGACATTGCTTAACTTCGGTATTCGTGCGAGAAGTGGTTGAAATTTTTGACAGATATACATATTCTTAAAGGTGGCATTTCGACGCCCATTTTTATACGATTTGCGTGTTGATTGAAAAACTTTAAATATTTATAGGTGAAACGTGAAAATGGGGGCAAAACAGTGAAGTGTTCTTTTATTTTCAGAAAGGGAAAACTCTACAAAACTCAAAAAAAGTAATGCGCCGTTTGTGGAGCCGATGCCATAGCTGAGACTAGCCTTCGTGAGCGGGTCACTGGGTTAGGGTTAGTTCACCAGTGGAAATGGAGATTAAAAAAAAAATAATGGATCGCATTTGTCATCTGCAATTCCCTGCTCAAACGCAACAAAAGCCAATCTTGGGTATGAGGATAAACTACATCCGGAAACAAAGCCTCGAATAGGGACAATGGAGGTTTTTAGGAGCGTGGAACCAAATAACCCTAACCCTAACCCTGCGGTTCGTTAGGTTCATCAGTGGAGATTTTGACCCGGAAAGAACGAGAAAGTTTCTTGGGTATGACGAGGAACTACATCCAGGACTAAGACCTCTGATCGGAAGATTGCAGATTTTGGGGAGCGTGAGACCAACTAACCCTAACTCTAAACCTAACCCTGCAGTTCGATAGGTTCACCAGTAGAAATTATGACCGGGAGAAAGTTTCTTGGGTTTGACGAGGAACTACATCCAGAACCACGGCCTCTGATCGGAGGATTAAAGATTTTGGTGTGTGGGACCAACTAATCCTAACCATAACCCTACGGTTCGTTAGGATCACCAGTGGAAATTTAGTCCCGGAAAGAACGAGAGGTTTCTTGGGTATGACGAGGAACTACATCCAGGACCAAGTCCTCTGACCGAGAGATTGAATATTTTGGGGAGCATGGGATCAACTAACCCAAGACCTAACCCTAACCTTGCCGTTCGTTAGGTTTACCAGTAAAAATTTTGACCAGGAAATGAGAAAGTTTCTTGGTTATGACGATGAACTACAACCGACAAAAATCCCTCTGATCGGGAGATTGAAGGTTTTGAGAAGCGTGAAACCAACCAGCCGTAACACTGTGGTTCGCTAGATTGACCGGGAATGAATGAGAAAGTTTCTTGGTTTTGACGATGAACTACAACCGGTAAAAATCCCTCTGATCGTGAGATTGAAGGTTTTGAGAAGCGTGAAACCAACCAGCCGTAACACTGTGGTTCGCTAGATTGACCGGGAATGAATGAGAAAGTTTCTTGGTTTTGACGATGAACTACAACCGGTAAAAATCCCTCTGATCGTGAGATTGAAGGTTTTGAGGAGCGTGAAACCAACCAGCCGTAACACTGTGGTTCGCTAGTTTGACCGGAAAAGATTGAGAAAGTTTCTTGGTTATGACGATGAACTACAACCGGTAAAAATCCCTCTGATCGTGAGATTGAAGGTTTTGAGAAGCGTGAAACCAACCAGCCGTAACAGTGGAAATGGAGATTAAAAAAAAAATAAAAAATTCCATACCAGTGTTCGAGTTCATCTTTATTGGTTCTACCTTGGACTATCACCGTGGTACAAGGAACCGGACCATAACAAGCCCTAAAATTGTGTTCAAAATATTTTGATTTCGGCATTAAATAACCCATAGAGGTTGATATGCTGCTAAAGAAAACCAACCAACCAACAAACATGTATCTGCACGAAAGCTGACCAACGATATATTTTATCTGTAGTTGAAGCCATATAATTGCGTTCAAAATATATTTAGTTGAAGCCATAAAATTGTGTTCAAAATATTTAGATTTCGGCATTAGAGGTTGATATGCCACTAAACAAAATCAGCAAAAGCTGACCAACATAAAAGCACATGTGTTGAGCACCCAGTACAAAACAAACTCATTAGAGTTTACACTAGCTTCGTCTAGTATTAGGTTGGTGCAAAAATAATGACGTTTTTTGACGTATTTTTTAACGTCAAAAAACGACATTCTTACGTCATTATTTTTGCACCAACCTAATATAAAGTCACAGGTGTAGTTCAAGTATACAGTTTGGACTGCTAGCAGGTATCAATCGCAGGAATTTGTTCTGAGCCCATACGATCGATTCACCTAGAAAGATTAGATCAACCATGAAAACCATTAGAGATTCAACCACATGAATCACGGAATGGCAACATGGATTTAGCCTAGCATCTATATATCACTAGAGCAATGTTTCTCAAACGTTTTTGCATAATACCCCTTTTCATCATATGTCAGAATGTTATTACTCTGTTTTCCATGTTTTAGGCGACTAAAAAGTTAATAATTATCATATACTATTGAAAATCTTCATGCTTTTCCATATTAGTGTATATACATTTACACGACAGTTGAAAAGTTTGAAGTCGCTCCCAGAATTAACATGGGATGTACATGAAACCTTTCCATCCAAAAAATGAAAAAGAGCTCTTATAGTCATTGAATAAAGAATGGAATCAATTACCAAACTTATACTTTGAGAAACTTTTGCAACGAATGCCAAAGATTTGTGCTGCAGTAATCAAGGCTAAAGGAGGATATTTTGACGAGAGCAAAATTTAATCATAAAATGCTTTTTTTTTGTCATAAAAGTTCTAATAAAATATTATGTCTCACTTTTTAAGTATGTATATTAATTTTCTCTTAAAGTATAAAACTACTTTTGGACTCAGTTTACAAAAGGACAAGGGTTTTCCAAAAACTTTTGAATTGTAGTGTACATGGATTATTTTATTTAAATTAAATGTAATACCAAAAGAAAATTTTGTTTAATTCATAACTAATTATTAAATAAATAAACTGAAGCATCTCTATCTATAACAGTGTGTGTGTGTGTGTGTAACGAATGCACGTCCGCAATTTTCGACGGATTTGCACCAAAATTTACATGCACATGTTCCAAGTTAGCGGGAAGGCCCAGACCGACTTTGCATTTCCCAACTCCCATCGATAGTGGAAATAATCGATTTTTTCATGCTTCTACGGCAGTTTTCATGTAGTTTGCAGCCATTTTGTACTGGCTGCCACGAATACGTAGGAAGATTCTATTGGCCAGTGTGGGAGCCAATAGCTGACTGGCACGAATGTTAACTAGCATGCTAGCATGCAAAAATAATCGGTAGCTGCATTCGTCACAAGTGGGAAAAATTTAAATCTGCATGGCACTTTACTCCAATTGGTTCATTCGATTGCTTAAACTCAACATTGATTCTGATTCTGCAGAACTGGGTTGGGTGTGAAAAAGTATTTGTTGTTAACATTCTTTTTTCATTCGGTTTTTCTAGTTACGAGTCCTTTTTAAAGCTGATCCTTTTGTGTTCATTTTGTTTAGTTTTTTTTTTTCGTAACAGATTTAATGTTTAGTATAGAGCTTAGAAAAAATTCGCAGTGTGAGATAGGCAAGAAGTAAGGCATGTAGCAATATCAGCACGGCAAAGGGCACTTCTTTAAAGGCAAGGAAGGGCAAAAAATATTTTAATTCAAGTGATAGCGATTGCTGTATGAGTCGTACGATTTTTGAATCAAGCACGGGCAACGCCGGACCATGCTGCTAGTATATAAATAGAGAGAAGGGGGAGACAAAAATTAATGCAATTTTCGCCGTAATAGGCGCATTTCAGAATTAAATTATTCGAAATTTCGTATATATGTAAAGGCTTACACTTTTATTCTTTAAGTATAGTGTTTAGTATATTTGCTACTCCACAGTAGAATATGCCTCACCAGTGTCTAGCAGATCATCACATGCCAAGAAAATCGATCCTGCCTTAAAAACCTCTTGCAGATCGATTACCAGATGCTCATGCCAGCCAAAGTAGGTGACCTCTATTTGCTTAGTGGCGTTTTTCCTCCTTACATAGGAAGTACAGCCCACTCCCAACTCGAGGAGTTGAAGCAGGTAATTGACCTTCGTCATCCACTCCACGGCTCTGAACAAAGAGGCTCAAGTCAAGACACTGCTTTATTACACTTAGCCGAACCACTGAACAACGTAAGATATCTGGCCCTTTGGTGCAACCACCTTAACAACGTTGAACACAGGCTCTCTCTCTCTCTCTCTCTCTCTCTCTCGCTCTCTCTCAACCCTATAGAATACTTCTCCCCTGAATCCAGTGATACGTAACCCTTCTGGTCCTGCCTGAATCGCCTCTAAACAACTGTTGATCGCGGTAGAGTTAACATTAAGAAATGTGAATATGCTACCGATGTTGATCTCAACTCTTAATTCGGGCAATTGCAAATTATGGAACGTCTTCTAGTTTACCCCAACCTTGAAGATTCGATCTGAGTTGCCTTATCTTTCAGGTCCTGTCTAACATTCAGTATATATATATATATATATATATATATATATATATATATATATATATATATATATAAGAAATATAATAAAAGAAAAGAAAGAACAGTAAGATATATAATCCGGTTTACTTATAGATATTTTACAAAACAATGCTCAGGGTAAATTTACAGAGCATAAATATTATAAATTAACTGATTTAAAATATGGTTTCTTCACTACACGGGAATTATCATGTTTCAAAAACCGAAGTTAAAAATTTCAAATTTAAATATATAATAATATTTGAAGTTTTTAGCTTCGGTTTCTGAAACATGGTAATTTCTGTGTAGCGAAGAAACCACATTTTAAATCAGTTAATTTATAATATTATATATATATATATATATATGTATATATATATATATATATGTTATTTCTTCATAACTGAAAAAAAGTTTTCATTCAACATCTGAAGATTACGTTGTGCATGAAACGCAGGGTTGTACGCCCGGTGTGGAAAAAATAATTATTATATATAATTGATAGCTTTGTAATTCTACATCAAGCATATTTTTAACATCAGCACTCAGTCTGAAATATTATGTATTCATATATATATATACATACATATATTTATATATATATATATATATATATATATATATATATATATATATATATATATATACACACACACACACACACACACACATATATATATATATATATATATATATAT